TTTTTTTTTTCGTCAATTAACGACACCGCAGTTATGCCAGATATTTAGCAGGAATTAGTTGCCCGTAATACTCTACTGTTAACACGAATCTAAAGTTAAAGCTTTTAACAAGTATCAGGGAATTTGCGAAATCGTTTAGCTATAAATCAGCAGAGAATTGTCAGATGGCACTAACGCTTTTAAGTTTTGTTGTGAAACTATTAACATATAAAATATGAATTATTTGAAAACAATTAAGTCAAACAAGCATCCCTTTGGAAACTTTTGAACAGTTCTCTACTTGGCATCCCCAAACAAAGATATGGATTTAAATCTTCTATAAGGAAGTCTATTGCCCAAGAATACTAATTGATCATATAGAAAACTTGCAAAACGAGCTTTTGCATTATTATTCAACAATTATAATGATATGTATAATTAACTTTACTTACAAAAATGCAAAAGTGCTACTTCAATACCCATTCAACCCTATTGCCACAAGAAACACAAATGGCAGCTTTTTTATAGTCTATCCAAAGACATTTCAAATCTCACAGTAAGCTTTGAGCCTTATCGCAAAGAGAACAGACTAAACAAACTTGTTATTCAAATGTCTAAAGGTCGGCACCCATTAAAAAGACAAAGACCCATCCCAGCGTTCAACTCTGAGGGTATTCTGCCATAAATAAACAACAAACAAGCACGAAGGAACACGAATACACTCTTGTTATCATGGTTAGTTCGCAACTTTCGTTTTATTTTGTGCAATCGTCTTGGTTTACGGGAACTGCAATATTGGTCTTGCCAGTTACAATTTAAGTTGACAAATAAAGGAAAATTTAGTCACGATAAATGTAATATTTTTTTAAATATTTACGATCCTAATCAAATGTTCATTTGCTTCCAGATCGATGTCCTGATTTCGTATGAATTTATTTAATTACATTTCCTACACAAGATCACCCTTGCCTTATTACCGAAATTTTCAAAATGGACGGAAGGACTAACGATTGGATTGAAGACTGTGTTGTCGTTTAATTACTTCTGAGTTTCAAAAACGGAAAGCCACACTTCAAAATTCTGTGTTGTCGTCACGACTTAATCCGCTCAGTCAATACGAAGTTTACGTACACAATAATCGAATCATAATTATAGGCATGTCACCTCTTAACATTGTAGTCATTCGGGTTACTACTTTGTTAACCTGGATTTTAACACGGAATAGAGTATTTCAAATGGAGTCAAAAGAAATAGTAACGAACTAAATTAAGAATCTTCAGCTTGGGAATGTTACCACCTACTGGCGCTCGAGGAACATTTAGAATTTAGAGAACCGGTAATGATTAATATTTCTTTTCACTTCAAGTCGATATGCGATTTATCCTGACCGACGGCAATATCGCCGGATTAGTCCCGAACTGAACTTTTTCAAACTGTTTGTATGTTCGCAATTATATAAATATAAAAATATATATCCGGCCTGTAGCTGAGTACGTAAACTTTAGTTTCTGTCGGCGCAATTTCGATTTCTTCGAGTCATTATTTGCCTAAACAAGCAAGGTTATTCAAATGAATTATTGCTGGTTTGTAACAAATAATCCAGTGGTTCTCCTTGTGCCGATTTAAATGTGCAGTTATCGTTTACAGCTTGAGGGGCTGTTTTGGAAAGAAGTCCATAACGTACCTTAACTCCTGTCCTGGATCGCTCGTCTCGAGCCAGACTACACGCACCACGGCATTCTGCTTGCTCGGATAAATTTTCTCCCGATTCCTTGATTGAGGCACCAAGGACAAAAGAAAGCAGTGCTACCATAAAAACCAACACTCCTCTTGCAGACATGGTTACGTGCTTACGAAATCTAGCATTTCACCCTCTCTGGAAAAGCCACTTTGCTTGAAAGCAATCGCGTCCGCCAAAGCTAACACTCTAATTGTGATCAGTGATGCAAATGTTTGGCTTCAAACCAAGGTCAAAAAATACCTAATGAATTTTAAACTTCACTGCATCTGTTTTCACGCTCCAGTCACTTCATTATGTTTATGTCAAAAGCTCGGAAAATCAATTGCTCTTGCTTATTGCTTTACAATTATGAAATTTTAACTTCTATTTAGGCACCATTCCATCATCCAGAAGCTTAACACTTCATCGATACAGTAAAGAGAACTTATTTGCTGATCACTCTGAACGCAAACAACAGTAGGTCTTCTATTTTGCTTCGTGTTTTGTTGGGTGGAAATTTGGGAAAATTTGCCATACAGAGTTTATACCCATGTGTATATGCGCTTGTGCTAATATCACTGTGAATCGGGGGAATGATCTTCAAAGCAATAATCAGGCTACCTAAGGCCTCATCCATATTACGTCGGAAGAATTTCACTCTAAAAACGCATTAGATATTTTCCGTCCACACGGAAACGAAAAGCCTGCGTTTGGGAACCGAAAAATTTCCATATGGAGTCAAGGAGAGACTTTTTATGGCCCTTCAGTAACCATTATTCACTGATCAAAACTTTTTAGATTTTTTACAAGCTCAAAATGTTGATTCTCTAGACTGGAGGTCTTGTTAGAATAGGATAGGATAGAATAGAAAGAATAGAATAGAATAGAATAGAAAGCCTTTATTTTAACACGATAGGTTTTAAAGCTAACAGCTTGTCGGGTCGTGAATAAAATAAAAGAAAGACCTAATACCAATGTAATAATAAGTAAAAATTAAAACTACTGACCTTATAAGAACCTGATCTACATTAAATATTTACACATCATAAAACGTTCAAATGTAAATAAAATTGTCATCACGATGCCGCACAGTTCGTTTTCAACTTCCTTCCGAGAGTTTAATTGTGGATCAGAGAGAAACATTCCCAGTTGAAAATTTTGCTTTTTCTCGTGTCCCGTCTGTTTGTCAACTGATATATGGAGCCATATTATAAAATTAAAATTAAGGTCAATAAAAGTCTACAGCTCTTGGCATTGTCAAATCTTTTGGATAAGGCTCCACTGCGAAAGGTTCTGTTCTTCCGGCCGAGAGATTTCATTATGTTGCTCTCCACTATAATGAAATTGGAAAAGTAATTAGATAGTAGTATTTATTTCGCTCAAGGAGTGCCAAAAAATTTTAAACCGTTCATGAACATTGAAATGTGCGGTCGTGTTCTAGAGTTCATGCAATTTCAAATGTACATATTATTTTCACTATGGCAGAAATGAGCCTTTCTTTCTTTTATGCTTTATAGATTAAGTCAGTCATGTTCTGCAGGCGATCAGCTTCTCTTGAAATCAGTGATATTAAAGGTGCACGGTCACGGTATTTTGAGTTATTTTGGCCAAGTACAAAATTACCTTTAAATCGAAGGAAAACTGACAATAATAGTTTACTAAGATAGAAAAACACTTAAGAGAAAATAAGCAACCATAAACGAAAAAGGATGGTTAAGGATGGAGAATATTGACACAGATTACACACAACGAACTTGAAAAGTTTAGGCTAAACTTTTCAAGATGGGCAAACCGTGACGTAGCTCCTTTAAACAACGTATTTCTTTGCATTGCGCGACAACTGACAAATGGACACCGCTAGCGAGTTAGCTTGGAAAACTTAGTGAAATGTATAAAGACTTTTCTTCAAGTTCCATTATTTTCTTTGTTGTCAGTCTAAGTAAGAATTGGAATCTCTTCCGATCGCTCTTTGTATGACATTCATTACCAGTTTTCTGATGATTTGAACTTGCCACACTTAAACTTCGCTCCTTGTAACAATGTGTACATGTGTAAACACCCTGACCTGAACATGTAGAACACTGACTTCTATTTTATTGATCAATCCTAAGCTGTATGCAGCACATAGTTTCTTTGCTATCGCCTTATAAAAATCTTTTAAGGACTATATGAGTGCTAATCGTTTTTTAAAAAATCGTTCAGAATTGTACATCGACCATAAAGAAATAACAAATAAGGAAAACGTTCGAAATGCGTTTTCAGTTCTGGCGCGAAACTGTTCTCGATTAGGAATTCACATTGTCGTGATTATTCAAAGTGCACGTGTTAATGCTGATAATTATTCATCTCGAGTCGAGTTATTTGCCATCACCTTCGTTGGTTGTCGTTCGGTCCACGTTTGTGCAGAGAGAGAAATTTTCGCTAACCATGTATAGCTTGCATGACGGTTGTTATGTTACGTTGGCAAAAATGCGATCTGATATTGATTATTGGACTGGCTGAAAGATATATTGAAGTGAAGACAAAATACATGTGCTTAATCCCGGAGCTTCTTTCGAGCATGTGTGGTTTGAATGTGGCTGTTACGTCTTCGTTTGATGTTTGACAGGTTAGTAAGACTTTAGAAACCGCTGTTGAATCGTTTGCTATTTATGTTTTGAAACCTGCCAATTGCAACAGTCTTTGCACAGTTTTAGCCAATTTGGTGAATTAATGTACGGTTTTACTAAATGCTGTTTCACTCGCTAAAAGAAAATACTTTAGGCACAAACCGAATTAGTTCATGCTCTTCTGGGAGACTGAGGAGAAACACAGCTTTACGGTCAGGCCTATTGTCCACACTAATCCGCCACGAAACCGGAACTAAAGTTCCGAAAAAGCTCTTCAAACCGGAGGAATTTGAAAACACCGGCTTTTCGTTTTCGTATGGACGGAAAACGTTTTGAAAACAGAGCTTTTCGAAAACGAAGGAGCCACGATAATCATATTATTTCCCTGACTGAGGTTTCCTAAAAAACAAATCCAAAATGACCGGTGATTGTTGAGTTTTTAAATTCCTTCGGCGTAGTGTTGACGGAAAACCTTCGATGCGTTTTCAGAGTACGTGAAACCTCCGTTTTTAAATTTCTTCGGCGTAAGAGGAATTTAAGAGTGCAACAATGATGTGTTAAGAGGAATAAATCAAGAGTTTATTTACCCGGAGAAAGGAAATTTGCAGATTTTATGATGGGCATTTTTACAGTTGTTTATTTTTGGATTATTTTCTTTAGTCTTGGAAATCTTCAACATGGTTCTTAATGGCAAAACTGATATGAACTGTAGGAAGTTGCTCTCAACTATACGCAATAAGGGATGCTGGAAATAGCTGCTGTTGAAATAATCACTTTTACTGATAGCAAACGTAATGCAATTTTCAATGTTGTATGTAATAACTTCCACTCAAAAGTAAACAGCAACTGATAAGTCTCTCATTGCAATATTTTCATTTATTATTAGGCAAACAAGAAGCAAACAACAACATGGGACAACTAAAATCACTGGAGGAACCTGTTACAGCTAGATCAGGTCAGTTTATACTTCTGGTATTTGCAATGTCGTTTGCAAGTGCACCTACATCTGTAGATGTTACAACTCTTAAATTTATAACGCTTGAGTATACAAACAGTAAGAAATCATAAGTAACTCGACAAAATGTTTATTTCTCTTATCCGGACAAACAAAAAACACATAAACATCAAAAGATCAGTGGAGGAAGTGAAATACATCAGAGATGAGAGGTTAGTCAACGTTTTTCTTTATATGTAGTGGAGTAGTGTATCACTATAATTTTACTCACTTTGAGGAACAAGCCTTGATTTACTCAGGCTCAAAAGATGAATCCTCGCCACTTTTTGCGATATTTTGTGAGTTGATGATTTTCTTTATTCTCATCACTTGTCTGCTTAATAAAGTATTGAAATTTTAAGGAGAAAATTATTGAATTGTTTTCGTTTAAGTTAAAAAAAAGTGCTTAATGGTATTTTTAGAGACGTTTCGGGAGAAAAAAAATCCCTTCATCAGTCGCAAATGAAGCGTTAATTAAGAAAATTATTGACAACTGACAGATAGCTCCAAAGTTTCACTAATAAATCATCGTCACCAGATAGTTTGTTTTACTCGGTTACCAGAGCGAAAGTAAATAGAGAGAGTACATCATGTGCAACACTGCAACAATGATTACTGTTGCTGAGGGCTGTTAACGTGAGGTTTGTTATCAACAATTATCAATTGACTCCACATTTTACTGACAAATCATGCTTCTATCTCGGCATCCTTCTTACACCAAACAGATGACCTAAAATTTTAACTGAGAAATCATTTACTGATCTAAATATCTTTCTTTTAACAACTGATGGCTCACTGAAATCAGGGAAAAAGCACAGTTTTCTTTATATATTTGCAAATGAGCTGAGTAAGCTTTTTTGCTGAAAAGCTTTTTTTGTGTTGTGGAAGACAAATATCAGCTGCACTGTGTAATTCATGAAACAAGTAAAACTAAATACTTACTAATTTTCTTTTTCAAATTATAGCTGAAACGTGTTGGAATATCTTCGAATATTTGTCTCATTTCAGTTTTCTTTGAAATGTTCTTGTTGTAATTAGATACTTTGTTTTACCTGGTTGGCAGAGCAAAAGTAAATAGAGAGAGTAAATTATGTACAACACATTTGTTACAAATATTGTGGCACAAAAGGGAAGCTTTTCAATGATAACTGTCGCTGAGCTAAGCCTGTTAATCTTCACCTGGGTTACTATTTATAAAGTCTACAACTTCATAGAACAACAACAACAGCAACAAAAACATCTACTGCAAAAAATAATGTCACAGGTGTATTGTTGTCATTAATCGTACTATTGGCATTTGTTTTGTATTGTTGGGTTCAAAGCCTGTGCTATGGTAGTAACCAGTCTGCAAATTAAACTTTATTCTTCTTTGTTTGCAGAACAACGGAAATCAAGAAACATATCATAGTCCCAGTTACTGCAAATAATGTTGAGGTTTCGTAATCAATTAGCTTACAAAAGTGATCGAGATCTAATTTCTCCTAGCAAAATTAGTACACTGTCAAGTAAACGGGTGATGAGAATACTACTGAAATTCTGTAGCCAATGTATATGGGATAAGATGAAGAAAGCTTCACGTAGTTGCAAAGAAAGTGCAAATACAATACAAAGCTTCAGTATGATATATGTCAAACATTTTTTAGAATTTTTTGGTATTTTTTCTTTCTTTCAGGATTTCTCAGTGACCGGACGATTGAGGGAAGATAAAGGCAAAGACAAGACGCTGGAGGCAATATTAAGAAGACAGGACACGTAGGAT